GTCAGAAACGCAACCGCGCGGGAGCGTAATTATTCATCTCGGTTCTCATCTTAACACTTCGCAGTAATGGCCACAAATTATTGTAATTTCGACGATCGTAAATTGGTGCAATTTACTCCGCTTCTTCTGCTTCTTCTTCTTCTTCTTGTTCTTCTTCTTCTTCTTCTTCTGCTTCTTCTCAGTAGCGGCGTGCAACGAGGTAGCAGCTCGCGAATCCCGCGTTACGCCGAGTGGAAATAAAATGTCGAGTCGACGGAGAAGTCGACGGTGGCGTTATCGGCGGTGAAACCGGTCACCGAGCGGTCGATTTCTGGTTTTATCATTACGGAAACTTGAACGGAAAATGGGAAGCTGCAGGGAGGGGGCGAACGGCCGCGGGCTGCTGTCGACGAGCGAAGGGAAGCTGGATCCTAAGTGCTCGGTACTACGCTCAGGATCAGATCGTTATCGTTAATTCCTCTCTACCTTCGAGAACCCGAAGAGCTCTCGAATTGAAAACAACGTGGCGGTATTCCACGGCGCGACGCGGACTCGTTACTCTTGAGAGGATTTAGGCGCGTTAACGGGAAAGCAAAAATGAAAGTAAAGCGGCGCAGTAAGCTCGACGGGCGAAAACCACGTCGAGGATAAAGGCAGGCGAGCATGGAGGCACGAACCGGGTCAGATGAAGCGGGTTTCACGGGAAATCGGTGGGAAATTGATCATTTCAGCCCTGCGAATTGTATGACGAATGGTTGGGCGCGAGCGTATAAAAAGCCGCGTTGAAGGCACGTGAAGAGGCGGACTGTCGAAGGTCACGGACCTTCCGCGTCAGTCGGGAGGTCATTATCGGTTATCTTGCGGAAATCTTAATCTTGGAAGTTGAAGGAGGCACGTCGAAGAGCGCGAAAGGCGATGGGGGGTGGCTGGCGTAGTGCAGCGGGCACGTTGCAAAGGTGAAGAAGAGAAACGTAAGGGTGTAGGAAGAAAGAGGAGGAAGAAGAGGAGAAGGAGAAGAAGCGGAACTCTCCCAGGGATCGGCGGGAGGAGCGGAGGTGTATGTAGTACCTTCTTAAGTTTAATGGTGGAAGAAGAGCGCAGGAAGAAATAAGAAGCGTCGAATAATAAGGGAGGATGCCAAGGGGACGAGGGAAGAAGAAGACGCGGAAGGAGGCGAGAGGGGGAGGGTCAGGTTCACGGACCTCCTCAGCCGAGATCGAGGGATTAGCGAGTGCACCACATTTGAAGCTGATAATTACGCTACGATAGTAATATGCGAGCGCCGCGAATAATCTCGGGCGGGGATAATACACGGGGTGGGTAGATGCGCGATCAGGACAGACGAGACGGCGGAAAATAATATGCAAAGGGCGTTCCACTCGGCACCGACATGTTTTGATTGATTCAGCCACGATCCCATCGACGTCAGTTAATTTCACTCTTGGCTTAATCGATCTTTCGTCCGCGGCCGTAGACATCCTACGACCGGAGAGCAGAACAAGAAAGTGAGTCTCGAACTACCTTCTTGAATTCTGAAGAGTTCCCGGACAAGGAGGAGCGGAGGGGAGGGGGGGGAGGAGGAGGAGAGATTTACATCGCGTTTAAGATTCCCCACCGTCGCTTCCTAGTCCGATGATTCCCCGTGGACATTCGACGGTTCTCAATTTAGCAGTTAATCCGTAGCTCTCGAGCAGAACAATGAAGACGCGGAAGCCGGGCGCTCTTACACCGGATCGCCGCCACTTTCGAACCTGTGACCACGCCGTGGAAGAACGCCGCCATGACGGACGCAGGAAGAAGGGAAGGACGGTGGGTGAGGGAAGATAAAGAAGAAGAAGAGGAAGAGGAGGAGAGGAGGAGGAGGAGGAGGAAGAAGTAGAAGTAGAAGAGTGGTAGCCAGCCCGGTGTGGTGGAGAGCGGCGCGGCCGGGGAAGCTAAGGTCACGGACCTCCTTCCCCGAGATCGGCAGAAGATCAGCCGCGGCTCGAGAGAGCGCGCGCGCGCGCTGCCTTCGCGAGCGCTTAAACTTGCTAATGGAAAAGACCGCCGTGGCCTCGTGGGGATGTTTAAAAGCGACACGCTGCGCAGTCACGTAATTTACGCGTTAACTGCGCGCGGGATGGGCCGACTGACTGACGTCGGCATAAAGCCCGCCTAGATAAGCGTACGCATGGCGAGACGGCTGGGTGACGACCAGGGGAAGTCATTAATTCGCGGCACGTATCGTGTCAAAGGTGACGGGAGGCCGCGGGAGGAAGGAAAGTGGAAAACGACTCTCTTTCCGTCGTCGAGGTGAAGAAAAGGCCGTCGTCGCATCGCTCTCGCCGTCGCTCGAAGCTTCACCTGGCGCGAAACGAGTATGCTGATGGAAACGACCCGGCGCATATTAAGCGGACGGAACAATTTCAACGAAACGGACGACGGAGGGGAACCTCCTCTCGCGACCGTCGTCGGCGGCCGCTCGGCGCGCGTGACATGACTGCGAGTCGCGGATAAGAATCGAAAAGAACTTCGCGAGATTCGATCGTTCCTCTCTCTCTTCCCCCCCCGGTGCCGAGAGGAAAGACGCGCGGTCCCGTTAAAATACGGTCGCGGACGGTCCAGCTTTATCGTCCGTGTCACTTCGATCCATCGGTCTCCCTATCGTCGGCCGACGCGTCCGCGCAGCTCGCCGAGGACTTGATCAACGCCTGTCAGACGGTACCTGCTAATCCCGCGAGCGCAATCGCGAGCGCAGCGAGCGCCCGACTCCCGACCGGCTGCTGAACATCAATTTGTCTGGCGGGAAATAAAAGAAAGCGCACAGTCTCTCTCTCTCTCTCTCCCTCTCCCCCTCTCTTTCTCCCCGAGTGCACTTCCTGATGCGCGTTCGCCTACAATGTATATTAAACATTCTACCGGTCGTTCAGCGTCTGTCAGCCGACGCGCCTGTTTATCTTTGCTTCTCTCGCGAGCGAGACGGCAGCGCGCCGAGACACGCGTGAAGCCCTCTCCTCTCTGTCTTTCTCTTCCTCTCTGGATTCTACTCCGGGATATATCGCCACGAGCGATCAAATGAGCCGCTAAACCGTGAAAAAATCCACCTCGAGGATATTTCTCATTGAATCATTCCAGCTACTTGTTGCGTTATTTACCCTCCTATTATCGTGGCATTAGCCGAGCTCGCTTTTATCACGATCGCGTGAAAGTGCGCGCCGGGAGATACGCGGTCCGAGCTATTGAAAGTTAGCTGAAAGGTGCTAAATATAAAAAGGCGTTTGTACATGCTCCACGATGTGAACAAGGAACTTCCGTTGTCGATCTTTCTTTCTTTCCTTCTTCGCTTTATCTGTTGCTTCTCGCTTTTTTTCTCTCTCGCCAAGCTCGTAGCCAACGTCTACCTGGAACGAACGCGGAAAATTAATGATACCGGCCGTGTCCACGGAGCATTATTAATACGTCACAGCTCGCGTCTGTTCGCTCTATCATCCACTATCGGGAATCGCGACACGATGTGCAGGGTTTGGTCGACGGTCGTCACAGGCCGACTGTTTATCCCGGATGCGAGTCGCGGTGGGTGCATCGCGCGAAACCGCACGGGTCCTCTCCTCGGGGTTGCCTCGTCGTGTAGAACGCTCGCCACGTTCCCTAACAGTTACGCGTTGCGCACGTGACGATGATACTTCATCGTGAATTATTGCTCGAAGCCGCCGGACTCGCCGCGAAGTACGTGCGTTAAGCGCGAGGGAAATACTCTCGCCACCTTTCCCGCCGTATCCAGTCAAGATTAATGTTGAATTATGCTCCTCTCCCCCCCCCGAACAATATTGTCGGGATTGTTTCCGCGGCTGATTCGCCGCTTTCCACTTTGACGCTCGCGATACCACCGGCGCACACCGGCGGTTTTAACGACGTCGTGCGCGATGTCGTACGCTGTAATTTTACCGTATCTCAAAATACCGCTTCTCCGTTAATGAGGGATCTTAAAATTAGCGGGGGAAAAATTCGCGCACGAGAGAGGAGAGGGGCAAACGGACGTCGCGCGGCGTTACCCCGCTGTGTAGATCCCGCGATTCCGCATAAATCACGCGGCCTCTTCTTCTAATATCTGAACTTCTGCGGGATCGGGACGCGTTCCTTTCGATATATCGCCTCGACGTCAGCCGGTAACGGTGAAAGTATCTATCATCGAGTTCCGCGAATAAACAGGGTCTAACCCAGTGGGATTATACATCATCGTATATTTCCCGAGCGCATCGCCGCGCACTCTTCGCTTTCCAAGGTCGAGACATTTACGACTTTACGGGGCAATTACCGCGGTATACGGCAAGTTAGTTTGCGGATACGGCTAACTCCTCCCGCCCCTCCCGTAAGGCAAAATTGCATATCGTCACGAAGATCCCCCTTCGCATATGTGAAATATTTTTTTCAGACGTCCATCCGAACATAATTTATATTAAATGAATGTGCGGTATATATATGTTGAAAATATAAAAAAGAAACGCAATCAAAAAGGCTCTTCTGAAAGACTAATTCACAATCACCCTTGGCAGAAATGTATGTAATTTTCCTAGACACCCATACAATTACTGTATTAATGCATTATCATTGATTGTAACAATACTACATAGAAAATGGACAAGAATTTCATAAAGTTTTATTCAGGAATACTTCTAGAGAAAAACTGCTCATTACATAAACAATAGACTTACTTATTAATCAGTTGAATAGTTTTATTCTACTTATTGTTCTGTTTTCGTTCTGTAAATGGGTGTACATTTTGTGCATCTTTTATATGCAGTAACTGCGGGAAAAGCGCCTTAATTGGGATCCCGAATAGTTTTACTCCTCAGTAACTGGACAAAAGTTAATATAACTGTCCAATAACTGCTCGAAAAATGAAACTTCTACTAAAGATGCCAATGATTTAGATCTCTTATTTAATTTTTTCACAGGATATATATTTTTTCGAGAATGCTTCAATTTACGTAAATCACGCAAAATTTCAGTCATTTATGCGGAAAATTCGTATTGTGTTTCAGTGCAAAGTAAAGTAAGATGTTCCAAGCAGATGATGGAGGTGGATATAGTGAGGAGTAGTCCGCAAGCGAAGATATATCTGCAGCAATTCAAGCATTTCCCAGGTGAATATCTCTAATCTACATTTCATTACGCAAGCTCGAAAATTAACCCTAGAACACCACATACTCGAATATACCACACCCATATTGTTTTTTAAATGACTACCGTTTTTATATAATGAAAGATAGGAATCAGAATGGGAAGGGGAAAAACTTCTGTTTTCTCTTTATGACTCCCCATGATGCGCAGCATCCCATGTACCGTTTAGTAGATGTAGGGGACACCATTAAAATCGGTCTTACGTGTGCTACACCCATATATGATATAAGTCACTTTTTCGTCATTGTTCTTTATTTTACATGAAAAGTTACATGTTTTATCTTGAAAACGAAAATGAGTATTCCTTTTATTTCCTTCTATACAATTCGATTTTATAAAAAATTATAATTTTTTTTTTAACAAATAGTATTTTTTATGATTAAGAAATTTCTATTCAGGCTTTTTCCAAAATTAACTTTTTTTTTTTAACGCAATCGTAGTTACACACAGGCGCGTTCCTGACATTCCGGCGTTTAAATGAAGTATGAATATATTAAAAAATTATCCGCTTTTCGAGTAGTTATTGATAGTTGAAAGTAGCTGGGTGCCGTACACTACCTAATGTGGTGAAATCGGGGACTCGCAGGAAATATAGTGTTCTAAGGTTAAACAAGAAATGACTCACGTCAGAGTATTATTTTTACAGACGAGGCCTGTAAACCGCAATTTCGCGACGGCGTGGCCACGTTCAAGCTATCGCTGCTGGAGCAGGACATGTTACGATGCGGCATCACGAGAGTCCTCAATAAAGTCACGGTAAGCCATAATTTCATCACAAGAATCCCTGATTTAACTTGCCGACCGTCTTTAACTATCGCGATATGCGTTGTAGTTCTAAATTGAAATTTCCTCGCTCGCGGGACATAATGGCGCGGTGTGCCAGCGTTGTATTGAAATAATCACTTTTGACAATCGCACGCGCAGGGTCAAAAGATGTACTATCATCGAGTAATAGTGGAGGAGCCCGCGGACTCCAGCAAGCACACGTTCACCGTGAAATGCGTAATCACCGAAGTTGTCGTGGAGCCAGAAATCGCCATCGCGGCCAATCACACGGCGGTACGGCGAAGCGTTCTTCCGGCGGGATTTCAGGAACCCGAGTAAGTCCCTTAACACCTAAGTCTACGTTATGCGTTACAACACGGAACACATAGTAGTACTCGTTATGACGAGATTGCAATCATTCGCCTTGTCGTCGCGACAAACGTCATTTATCACGGCGCGGGTAACGAACGAGCCGGGTGAAGGCCGTGGATTACAAATAGCGCAAATAGGAGAGACACGACAAAAGGGCCTCTCCTTTAATGAGCGCGATATTTATCAAATCTATTACCCCGCATGGAAGCTCGTGATTTAGCTTGGTCGCGAGATTCTCGGACCGACTCGGCTTTTCAAGACTTCTCGCCAGTCATCCGACGGTGTTAATTGCGTCATAGACGAGACTCTCTCACACTTCCCGCGCGTACCAAGTGATCCCCGGCATCTACATGGGCTCACAACGAGTGGGTTTAATTACCCGGAAGTCGCGGCGTGTGAGAGAAAAACCTCCTCTCCGGCGCGGAAGTCTCTCCCGATCCGCCATTTTGGCGGACACGACAATCACGTCCTGTCGGGTCAACGAGCAAGGATCAATCGTCGCGCAAAAAGCAGCGTCCCTCGTCGGGGCCGGCCACGACGTTCAGTCTCTATTAAAGTCGACTTCTTGCGGCGATAGCATCCGCTCTTATTACATCGACGTACGAAGGACTCGTCTTCGTGCGCGAAGCACGAAAAATACGGTACCGCCGTATTAAATCGCCCGTTCGTCGTTTCTTTCCGAGCGGTTTCTATTAGCAATGATTAAATTCGCTAAGTGCAAGGCGGGAGTATAATTTGTCAAACGACGCACGCCTCCTTCCGTTCCGCAGCTGAAGGAGGGTGAAACGGCGAAAGAGCCTCGTATTACCGCTATCTCGATACGATGACATGTGGTAGTTCGCGATCACTGAGTTTAATGAAACACTATTACTACACATCGTGTTCCATTGCATCGGAGGTATACACACACACACACACACGTATACACACGTATGTAGTTCCACGTGTCATCGTAATTACAGATCGTGCTTTAACGACGTTATCGCGGGACGGGAATTGAGACAACACGTCATGTTCCCGTTTCTTCAATCGCGACCAGGCGATTTCCCGCATCGTATCGAAATTCCTTCGATTATCCGTTCACCCGCGAGTACCGGAGATTTATCTCTCTCGTCGGATGAGTAAAACCGGCCGTCGACTCCTCCGGATTCTTCGAACGGATTTAACGATGCGAAAGCAGACAAGGCGAACATGCTCATCGAGGATTGCGTGTGATTGCGCGGAAAATTCGATGATTACGATCGGCCGATCCACATTCGAGCGGGCAAATTGTCCCGCTTGACCTGGATACGCACGCAGAAGCGAGCTAGATGAACACGAGGGAGTAATTATCGAGAGTTTATAATTTATGAACAGATCGACCGACTGATTTATTGCACAGCGGTGGAACACGAGCGGGCAGACATCGTTTGTAGGACTCGCGATATAATCCGATATAATCCGCGAAAGCTGGTCCTTCCTTTCACAGTCTCTTCCCGTCTAGCGAGGTCGAAAATCACCCGTCTTGGGTCACACGCATCTCGTGCGAGGCATTCTTGGCCGATTTGCGATCACTCGAGGAAACGCGCGGTCCGACGCGGAAATCGACGCGAGGAACGGACACGGTGATCGAAACACGGAGAAAATTGCGTCGAGAACGGTTTGCGGGACGAGAAAACACAACGATTTGTGCCCCGATCCATGGAGGACGGGAAAATTGCAGGAGCGACGAAACGTTAGTTAACTGAAACCCGTAACTGGGCCTCCCCGCGGTGCTCAATTATCAACAAAGTGTTATTGTCCCTTTTGAAGTCAGTTACAAGCCTCGCTTTCCCGGATTTTCCTTTTAAGGTAGCGGTTTCGTAGAATACCGGATTATCAGTAGCGATATTAAAGAGCGCCTACATAAGTTCATTGTTTATGAGAAAAAAATACTTTCGTATAACTTTATTTAACAATCTAAGTAATAAATATTAATTTTGAGCGAAATCAAGAGAAATATATATGTACATATATTACAAACACGGAAATATGATTTAATTTTTCTTTTTCTTATTAATGCTTTATTTATATTGAGCTAATAGAGTGTACACATAGCAGGAAGTGATATATAAATATTTAAATATGTGTCAATCGTTTTCTAACTACGCCAATAATTAAATCATATTTAAATTTATACATAGTGCAAGTTTCAACGAATTCGTAAAAACTTATTTTATGCCACAACTATCTTAAGACGGATAATTGTCAGGAAAATTGATGGCGAATATAAAAGGATCGAAATTTTAGTTCTAGATTAACACTACGAATTCCAGACTTCTCCAGTGGTCCTTCAGGTGCGATGGCATTTTTAAGGTTAATGTTTGAAATTCTCGGTGACGATGGCCCTTTCCGAAATCTCTCCCGAGGCGACGTTCATCCCGAGTAATTTAATAGCGGGACATTCTGTTTATACTCAAGACACACGGTGACATTACGAGAATCGATTTTACGGCGCTACGTCGGCGGAGCGGTCGATTCTCTTGGGCAACGGTTCCTTTACAGATGGTGGAAAAGCCACCATCGGCGCGCTCGCACGCACGATTTTAAAGAAGAGGCCGCGGAGAAGAGGCCTGTCGCTAGATCTTACCTCCTTGCCGCTTCGCCAACGGACGAAAGTCGCTTCGCGAGTCGACATTCTTCAAGTACCCTCCGGGGACGTGCTCTCGAGAGAACTCGACGGGAATTTTTATCGCGACCGCCGCCGCCGTGTCGACCGTCGACAGCGCTAATTTATTGGCGTTAATCGAACGCACCACGGCGTCGGATCTCGCGCGAATTCCGCGGATTTCGCGACGTCCTTCTGCACGTACAGCGCGCAGGAAGCCGTGTAATCTTTATTGTTGAATTATCACGTGTGACGTCCGCGCCGCGGGTTTCCTCGGGGTCGAGTCGCCGATGACTGCAAAAGTCTCTCCGTCGAGATCCCGATAACTGTTTCTGCCAGTCGATGGAATTGCACACGCTCCTGCGAGCATTGTGTGCGTTAATCCGTCTCGAGATAAACCCTCACGCGCGCGTGGATTTATGAAAAACGTTTAAATCAACCGGAATACCGAGCGGCGTCTTTCTGTCCCCCCCCCCCCCC